GTCAGTCTCGGGATCATCCAAGGTTTCACAGCAAATAATTCTGTTGTCTGTCACTTAAAATTTTCACAGTACTAGCCAATTTAGCACAACTAGCATGAAACAGACTTTGACAATTGTCACATTTTAGTGCATTAACTACATTTTTATTGCACCTTTTACATAAATTACTGGAAGAGCCAGCAGACGACATGTTCACTCGCTGCCGCTATTTGCTATATTTGAGGCTAGGTATTTAAGAACAGAGGTTAGGGGCTTAAAAAATAAAAGAAATAAGTTCCAGAAAATAGTTTTCAATTACTTTTATTCTTTAGTGTGGAACATATACATTCTATACATTTCTAGCTCAAGTTTTTCCAATTTTAAGTTGGTTTTTGAGGCTTTGGGGTTAGGTTTTGAAGACTTTTGATGTTAGATTTTTTATGGGTGTAGGTTTATGACTTTAGAGATAGGAAATGTAAGCTCAAAAATATAGTTTTCCAGTAACTATACCCATAGATTTAGAAAAGAGTTAGTGTAGTACTTTCAGGTTAGGTTTTTATGAATTTGAGGTTATGTTTTTGGGCTCAGGTTTAAAGCTGAAAAGTATTGTGAAGCTACATGATTATATTCGTTGTTTAACCAATCTCATATACGAAATTTTTGATTTTTTTGTTTTTAAATAAGCACCGAATTATTGATCTTTGGTGCTGAGGCTGACGGGTTCTCACTCGATTTACAAAATTCCTATATAGATATATCAAATTATCGCACTAGGATCATAAAATTAAACATACTTATTTGAATAAGAATAAAAAAGAAATTACCAATGTACGGTTAAAATACCCGAATGCGTAGAATTTTTCCCATATTTCCCACCGTGCGACCTGAGTAAAAATTCGTTGGAATTCTAAATCCCTAATATATTACTTTTCCAATCGCTACATTATAAAAATGATCACAGTTGGTCATGGTTTTGAATTATAAAATGATTGCCTCGATGATGTAAAACATTTTTAAGGCGCTGTCACGAGATGTATCTAACAAAAATTTTTATTAATATAGGTAGGTCAATAAATAAAAAGGTTATAGGAGTGGCTAGTCCTTAAATAAAATACATTAATACGGCTTAGGTAATGTGAAACTGACATTATTTCTCTAGAAATAGAAATTTATGATTTTCTCAATTGCTGAGCTAACGAAATTTGCCTTAAACATTCTTTTTAATTGACTAAAATTCAGTGGAACAATTTTCATACAAAATTAAAAATATTTAAAAAATTAAGCTGAAATTTCACTTGCCAAAGGTGATATATCTATATTAAGGCAACAATAATAATGTTCTCTTTAAAATAAATGTGTGTTGCTAGGGATACAATTAAATGAAATAATTTGACTGCAGCTTAGAAGTTAATTTTTTGATTAAATTAAAATTAAAATTATATGTGCATACCTACTTAAGTTGATACGTGGGTACGTAATAACAACTGTTCATTCTCGAAAACAACTGTAATTTCATCTCTGGAAAATTTACTCTAGGTACCTATTTGCAGAATAACAAATTTTAATTTGAAAAAAATTATATGAACTTTTTGTACAACTTTATTATTTTAGTAATGATTAAGTACCCACCCCGTGTCTTGAAAATAAAGGGAATCAGGATCAGACATTACCCGGGGTCACTTTGTGTAATCCTATTGTAAAAATATTATCGTAAAGTAGGTACCTATTGCAGATGCTCACTTATGTGAATAATTCTGTAAAATTCAAAATTAGTAAGTAGGTAGATATATCTAAACGTCCTCATGATAAACTAGTAAGTAGGTACCAACATAAACTTTAGAAAGTTGAGAAATAACTTTATAGGTTAAAGTAATCTACCTATATTAGTATTAAATAAACTTCAACTTACCTGTGTGCTATGTAAATTACAAGTAATATTTTTCCATGAAGCAGTTTTAGGACTATCACAGTTACATGCTTGCGCATCACATATAGTTAATTCTTTTTGAGCTTCCACAATGGAAACAACACAAACACAAAACGGCACCCACAGTAAAAACAAAAGAAAACATCTGAAACTCATTTTGTAAACACATCATACACTTTTATTTCAAATAGCGTATTTTAAATTGTATTAACTCCATATTTTCAATAAATATATAGATACTTTTTATAACTATTAAATGTTTGATGTCGTTGACATCACGAAGATATGTAGTGTATAGAACTGAAATTAACTCGTGACTAGCACAGAATAAATTGAGTAGTGATGCTGGCCTACAGTTTAAATCTACCACTACCTACCACTCCTCTCAGAGGAGCACGTAGTACTCCGTCGCTTTTTACACAAAACACTCGCCTGTCTCTCTTCTAGTAGGTACCTCCTCGTTCTTGAATTCTTAGCCTTTGTTAATATTAAGTTTCAGAACCAAGTTTAAAAATTAAAATTAACTTTTATAGTCTGTCGCAGTGGCGGCTCGTTCTTCTATTGCATATTAGTAGAGTGCCTGGAAGCATTAAATATGCTTAAAAATCAATTCTGTGGGCGTCGCGGGGTTACAAGCTGAATTATGTATAAAAATGAAGCTTATGTCTTACTGAATCAGAATACGAAGGTAATAAAAAAATAACGCGGGCAGAAGGGCAGTAAAATCAAAAAACGAGTTATCACCATGGGCGGATAATACAGTACATTGGCTATAATTCTATAAAAAAATTAACTCATATTTTGTACAGCATATATTTTTTATCAATTTTTGAAAGTTGCACTTAACGTTGAGTCTTATGGCAGAATAAATTTTTAAACATGAATATCTCGGTTCGAACACGTCGAAAATCTTAGTGAAATTCAACATTTTTTTAGTTCCCACGCTATTTACCGGAAAACGGTGGCCTTAATCGAAAAATTTTATTCTTGAAAAAAGTTTCTGTCACCAATTTGAAAGACAACAGCGTATAATTTTTTGCTTCAATAATAAACACGATATGGATAAAAATACAAAATAAGTCATTTTTCGATCGTCCGGCGGACGGCTGGCTGCTTCGCGTCCCCACTCCGGCACAGTTACATCTGTCTCACAAATCTCCATAGCTCCATTTCGTATTACTTCGATACGCACGAGTCGGTAATGAAAACCCTACTAAATACAAATTTGAAAAACACATGCAAAATTAGTAAAAAAAAATATGTCTTCTACAGATTTAAAATATGATTTTTTTAATAATTAGATTTAAAAATTATATAAGTATATATGGGGCGTTCCACGCCAAATCGGACGGTTCGAAAAATTTAAATTTTCGATTTCCTTAATTTTTTTATATTTTTTAGTACCCCTCAAAAAAGCCTTTCTGGTAAATTTTCAGATTTTTTTGATTACTTGTTCAAAAGGTATAAAATTTTCAAAAAAACGCTCTTTTTTTGGTTTTTTGATCATAACTTTCTTAATAATGGTCCAAATTAAAGCTTTTTTTTATAAAAATATTTGTTTTTAGATGGCCTTTACAGATAAAAATACAAAAGAAATATTCAAAGTGTTTTTGATTAAGATTTTTAAGTTTAAAATTTTAAATCGTGTTTTTGAAAGTGAGTGTATCTTTCGATTTTTGTGAAAATTTTCTATTTCAAACTACTATTCTTTTAACAACTTTTAGGACCGGTCCGGTCGTGGGCCCTCCATAATTACTTTTTTTTTTTTGATTTTTGAAATTTAAAACAAAATTTTTCTCTATAAATCATTATAAGTACCGATTTTTGTATACCCTTTTTTACTTATTTTAAATTAATATTAATACTTTTTAATTATTAATAGGTGTTTAAAATCAATAAGTAAACGTAGTCTATTTATAAACAATGATAACAAACGTTTTTATTTATTTTCGTGTTCTTTTAAAAATTGTTGCAAAATTATTTTATAATTTTTTTTTTGTTGCAAAGTATTTTTTTTTATTTAAATAATAGTATCTTTATGAATTTCTATTCTATTTAAAAAGAGTCGCACATCTTATGATTATTATTGATGTCAAATTTTCACCTGAGAAACACTATTTAGATGCAAAAGAAAAATTAAATTTGCGATACAATATAGGGACCCAAAAATTTCATTCAATCATTCTAAGGAGCAATGGAAATATATTAGGTAAGGAGTATTCTAGTTTACAAAATAATATTTTGTTCCTTGGAATGATTGAATGAAATTTTGGGTTTGTTTGGGTTTGGCTGTATTGTAACGCAAATCTAATATTTTTTGCATCTAAATAGTGTTTCTCAGCTGAAAATTTGACAGCAATATTCATAAGATGTGCGACTCTTTTTAAATTGGATAGAAATTCATAAAGATACTATTATTTAAATAAAAAAAATACTTTGCAACAAAAAATAGCATTGATAAAATAATTTTTAAAAGAACACGAAAATAAATAAACACGTTTGTTATAATTGTTTATAAATAGACAACGTTTAATTATTGATTTTAAACACCTATTAATAATTAAAAAGTATTCAAATTAATTTAAAATAAGTAAAAAGAAAGTAGACAGTGACAAAAATCAATACTTATGATTTATAGATATATTTTTTTTAATTTTCAAAAATCAAAAAAAAAAATAGTAATTATGGAGGGCCCATGACCGGACCGGTCCTAAAAGTTGTTAAAAGAATAGTAGTTTGAAATAAAATATTTTCACAAAAATCGAAAGATACATTCACTTTCAAAAATACGATTTAAAATATAAAACACAAAAATCTTAATCAAAAACACTTTGAATATTTTTTTTGTATTTTTATCTGTAAAGGCCATCTAAAAACAAAGATTTTTATAAAAAAAAAGCTTTAATTTGGACCATTATTAAGAAAGTTATGACCGAAAAACCAAAAAAGAGCGTTTTTTTTGAAAATTTTATAACTTTTAAACAAGTAATCAAAAAAATCTGAAAATTTACCAGAAAGGATTTTTTGAGGGGTACTAAAAAATATAAAAAAATTAAGGAAATCGAAAATTTAAATTTTTCGAACCGTCCGATTTGGCGTGGAATGCCCCATATATTTATATAAATGTTCTTTTTTATTAACAATTAGGAAAATGATTATCAGATAAAAAACACTATTCATCCAAGTCACTTTCTTCATCGAACTGGGGTAAATCTGTGGTCTTGGTCAATCTATTTTTGCAAGTTTTTTGTGCCATGCATTTACAGGACCAAATACAACCTATATTACTTTTCTTGCAACTGCAGACCTTGCTTCCACAATCTAAGAAAATTTAAATTTTATTACTAGAAAAATGGTTGCTACTTATTATCTTACCTTTTTTGCATCCACATGAAGCTAGAACGTTCAAATGTAAAGGAAAAGATGGCAAGGTGGTTAGAACTGGATTGACATTACCGTCTTTATCAATTTTCCATCCATAGTCGGCAATACAAGGCAATTTTGGACAGGGTTCTAAGCCATTGAGCCACACTTTCGTCTGATAATAAGCCCTCAAACAATGGAATCGCAATGCATCTTCAGTCGGAGGCAGATTTGCAATTGTTGAAGACGATGCTAACAAACCTCTTAAAATGTTTACTGACGCAATATTAGGATTTTTTGAATATAGTTTTATAATAAACATCTGAATATCCTTGAACATATTTTCTGAAAAATCATCCGTACAAATTCCATCTAAGTGTTTAAAGGATTCCAAATACGTTTTCCAACATTTTTTTTTCCGTATCCTGAAAATTGACTAGTAGTGTCACATCCTGTAAGAGCATGAAATGCAGGTAAATTTTGGATCAACTTTTCCTCCAGTTTTAACTCATGCACTGCTATATAGCGAACTGTATTTCCTCTCCCAACTTTTAACCAAATCTCTGGCGTAAGGTGTTTTCTAAAGTACAGTAGCAAGATGAGTACATCTGTGTCATTACATTCTACTACGCATCTAGTAAAACCAGAAATTTTGGCGGACAGTACATGTAATAATATTCTCGTGTCAGCTTCTTCATGGTTGGAAGTCAACAAATCACCACTGACTATATCGAAATTAGTTTTATATTCTAAGTTATTATTATATCCTCCGCTAGTAGCAAATTGTAGAGAAGCTTTAGAATCAGAATGATTGATAAGTTGTTGCGACAAAAAGTTTGTTAATTGCTTTTTGTTGAAAATCGAATGAATAAACAAATTCCATTGCTGAGGGAGTGGAACTTCAGTATTCTCTATTATTCTGTGAATTGACGTTTGGGATCCTCGTTTTTGACGTGTAATATTTTTAATAGAATTTTCTTTGTAGTGGTCAAATACTACGTCGATTCTTTGAGCATTATGTTTGTTCCGGAATATAACATTGCAAAAAATTTTAGCATATTCGCCAAATGTATTACATTTTGGAGGTTTACCTAAAGCTTGAACTGTCGCCATTCCATCAAAAATATGACAGAGTCTACCATTATCTTCAAAAATCGGCAAAGCTGTGTAGGATGTTCCGTAGCTTTCGATTATACTCCCCAGAGAACTTTTATTTGAGGGAGTGCCCAAATTTCCATTCACAGTTAAGGACATAGGAAAAGTTGTCAACTCGTATTGAAATACGTTATTATAATCAACATTTCTTCCCATTTCCTTTGCAGCCAAACAACGCTGTAAAAACTGTTGACCCTGTACTGTTTGAGACTTTTGAACATGTGTATCAGATTTTTTTTTGGTTATCCCGGGTTTGTTCAATTTTTTTAATGGTTTGTAAAAATCAGTGGTATCCATAATATCAACAAAATCTTTTAAAGCATTTTCACCTCTCTCTTTAGCCGTCATACGTAATGTTTCTGTTCCTTTGTAGCTATAGACATTAAATTATTTTCATTTTCAGAGTTGTAAGTAAACACCTCATACTTAGTAAACTGTTCCACTAAAGTTAACACGGTTTTTTCGTCCACAAGAATTCTTTGCTTTCCAATTTCAATATTTTGAGTAGAATCTTCGTCACCTAGTTTCAAAGAAGTTAAAAATATATTCGTCATTATACCGATTTCGTTAAAACTGAGGTACCATTCGTCTAATCTGGTACTATTTTTCGTTAAACCAATTATACCTCCCGCATCTTTTGATGTTTTATTTACATGTTCAAGAGCCTGGTCAACCGATAACCTGTTAAATCCTCCAGATAATTTTTTGACTACATAATTTCCTTCTAAAAACTCTTTGTGAACTTCTGGAGCTACGTTTGGAAGGTCTAGCATATCACAAAGGTAAACAGATCCCCATCTAGAGTAATTGGTATGATCATACGAGAAAAACCATGGAAGCATTTTTCTAAAGCTCTGTAAATGTAGTGACCAATTTCCAACTCTTTCACTATAAAGAAATTCTAACAAAATTTCCACTAACTCTAAGTAACTGCACCACATTTTAAAATTGATAGGTTGGTTTTCAACAAATTCATCATAAATTGTCTTTAATTCTTCAACTGTTTTTACATATGCAAAGAATCTTTTTGGTTGCTTCTTGTTTCGTATTGATGAACATATTTCCCTTGCCATGAGTCTTGATTTATTCAATATGTGAATCAATTCACTGTTGCATTCAGTTATCCATTTTTCAAAAATTGGAACTAAAATTCTCATAAGACTCTCATACGTTATTTTATGGGCTCGGATACCTTTGTTCCATTTTTTTCCAGATAATATTCCAGTAACGGTTGATTCTCCATATAGCCCTGATTCCAGCCATACATCTCTTAACCCGGAATTATTCATGTACTGGCCAATTACCTTCAAAAAATTAAGCATTATGTGGAAACCACCCAAACGAATTACAAATTTGTTACATTCTTCAGGTTTAATCCATTGTATTTGTTTTGCTTTATAATAAATTGCTTGGTCAAAAGTAATAACGGTATAAGGCATATTCAGTTTTTTAGCAATTTGACTACACCTTCTCAAGGTAGTGAATACTGTATCATATTCAGAAGCAACATAGGGCAAGAGTGGCAAATATCCATATGTAGTTATGTACATATCATCTTCGTGAATTAATTTGCTGAAACCTGTCCATTGAGGTACCCCTACTTCCTCTTCTTCTGCTCTACATAAAATCCAAGAAAGATTGTAAGAAAACATAAAGTTTTCTTCATTATTTTTTTCTAAAACTGCTAATTTGTTTGCTATATTTGGAGTAACTTTCTTGGGAACGTTTGACAGTTTATGTAGTTGATGAAAATTTTTTGGAATTAGAAGTTGTACACGATACGGTAACAAATTGAAAGGCTTTGATATTTCTTCGTTAGGTGGTCCTTTTTGAAATGAAATTATTTGAGTTCCATGAAATGTAGGAGACTTGTCAAGGGTTTCTTCTAAAATATCTATGTTATCTGCGGCAAACTGTACAAATCTATCAGGAACAAGTTGTCGTGGAATGTAACAATTATCTTCATTAACAAACCTCGTAAGTTCTTCTTGAGCTATACTGTTTCGCAATCGCAACACGTTTTTATAAGAAATCGAGTGTCCACATGAATGCAACGTTTGTACTATTTTTTTCGATCTCGTTTCTTGGTGAACAAAAATACCTAGTCCTATATGTTTTGGTGTAAATTTTTTACCTTTAAAGTAGTTATAAATTATATCTTGACATATGTTGATTACTGCACATACATTTAGATTCGTAAAATCGGTAAAGTTTGGTATTTTCTCCATTTCACGTTTTATATCACAACATATTTTGTGAAGCTGAGATGGTTCGGAGCCACTTGTTAATATTGGAGAATAACTAGGAGAAGATGCAGCATCTATTATATAACTATGAAGCTTTTCGGACTTTTTAACTGGTGGTATTATTAGCGATGAAACATTTGCTTTTTCTGATTTTAAGATTTTTATTTTACATCCAAAATTCCGTTTCAGTATTGCTATAAGCGTTTTTTTCGATTTCTCGCCACCGAGTTCTTTGTACCTGTTGAAAATAGCTGTACTAGTAAAACCTTTTCCTTTTCCAATACTAACTTCAACAAATTTTATTATATTTTGTAAAGGTGTGTCTTCAGCTTGACGAAATTTTTTTCTGGCACTTTCTGTAGTACTTTGTTCTACAATAGTCTGTGGTTTACCAGATTGTTTTCCCAATTTTTTTATTTCTATCATTAGGCAGTTCACGTGATATTTTATCTCCATTGCTATTAAATCATTGGAGCCTATTCTTTCTAAAACTTCTGAAGAGATCGATGCAATGTTTTTACTTTAGTTTCTATATTTTTAGACATAACTTAGGATAATCTCTTCCCAGGGGACCGCTTCTGGCAAAATACACATTTATTTATGTCAAATCCACCCTTACGAAGCGATCTACCAGGAAGTGGTGGAGGTTCAATACCAGCTACTCTGTACTCTTTCAGTCTTTCCACTCTTTTCCTTAAACTTTCAATATTTTGTTTGCTTGTATAGGCAATATAACATATTTTATGCCAAACAACATTGACAAGATTTCCAGTTTTACCATCAGCAATCACTTTTTGTATATCCTCATCTACCTCCTTGTTTATTTCATTCCGAATCTTAGTGGAATTCATAAATGTAAAGAAAGTTTTATCTGTTGATTGGATTATAATACCTCCAATTTTTTTACATATTATACATTTTCGCTGTTTTTCCGTTTTGAATTTTACAAGAGAGCCGATTTCGCTCTCAGAACTAGTGCTATCAGTTGTAGAACTTTCCATTTCGTACAGTGCTAAATTATGATAAAAAAATCTATAATTGGAATGTGGAATTCCCTACAATTAACTAAAGTAAAATTTCTCACCTAGTTTATCACCAATACACAACACCAGGTTTATACACCAATCACTAGGTATGTGATTAAGTTTTTTAAAAAGTGAAAAATTAAGTTTAACTCGATTTTAATCAGTGTTAGGTACTGAACTCGTTATATGCACTCACCCACAAAACTACACACACTTAAAATTCCGGGAAGATAAGAAATATCAAAATGTAAGACAGTACGAGATGGAGCTATGGAGATTTGTGAGACAGATGCGACCGTGGCGAAGTGGGGACGCGAAGTAGCCAGCCGTCCGCCGGCCGGTCGAAAAATTACTTATTTTGTATTCTTATCCATATATTGTTTATTATTGAATCGAAAATTTTGAATTAAACGTTATTGTCTTTCATATTGATGAAAGAAACTTTTTCCAAGAGTAAAATTTTTCGATTAAGGTCTTCGTTTTCCGGTAAATGGCGTGGGAACTAAAAAAATGCTGAATTTTTGTAAGATTTTCGACGTGTTCGAACCGAGATATTCAAGTTTAAAAATTTATTCTATCATAAGACTCAACGTTAAGAGCAACTTTCAAAAATTAATAAAAAATATATGCTGTACAAAATATAAGTTGATTTTTATATAGAATTATAGCCAATGTGCTGTATTATCCGCCCGTGGTCATAACTCGTTTTTTGATTTTACTGCCCTTCTGCCCGCGTTATTTTTTTATTACCATCGGTTTCCGATTCAGTAAGATATAAGCTTCATTTTTATATATAATTCAGCTTGTAACCCCGCGACGCCCACAGAAGTGAAAATAAATTAAAGCGGGCACTCTACTATTAGTCCAATTAACTAAGCCTTTAAATCGAAATTTTGCCAACTTGGCTGAATTTTTGATATGAGTTAGTTTAAGGTATATTATAACAATAAGTGAGAGTAATTTTTTGTTCAACCCCCGGCCAAGGGTGGAAAAAGATAAAACAAAGGGCTTTTTCAAGATAACTCAAAAAGGGTAAGAGCTAGAAAAAAAAGTTTTTCATGAAAGTTGTAAAGCAGACAATTCTACATAAAAATGGCCGCTTAACTTTTTCTTGTACTATTACAATTAACAGAGTTAGGGAGGCTAGAAGTTAAGTGAAGATTTCAGAAATTTAAAAAAAATCATAACAAACAGAAAAATGATTGAATTTTGTAATTTTTTTTTTCAATCTGCTCTAAAATATGTAACTTTTCTTTTCAGAGATATAGATATATTTTTTAATTTTTAATAAGAAAGTTATAACAAAAAATCAAATTTTTAATCGTTAATTTTAATGATTTAACAAAATTAAATTTCTGAAATCTTCCCTTAACTTCTAGCCTCCCTAACTCTGTTAATTTTAATAGTACAAGAAAAAGCTAAGAGACCATTTTTATGTAGAATTGTCTGCTTTACAACTTTAATGAAAAACTTTTTTTCTAGCTCTTACCCTTTTTGAGTTATCTTGAAAAATCCCTTTGTTTTATCTTTTTCCACCCTTGGCCGGGGGTTGAACAAAAAATTACTCTCACTTATTGTTATAATATACCTTAAACTAACTCATATCAAAAATTCAGCCAAGTTGACAAAATTTCGATTTAAAGGCTTAGTTAATTGGACTATATATCGTAAGTGACTTTTCTAGGAAAAGCGAGTGATTCTGGGGTTATTTTAAAATGTTGATTAAGTAAATAAAAAAATTACCGAACTAAATTTTTTATTCCTGGTACTACAGTGTTGTCATGTAGAGGCCAAACATCCAGGAGCGTATTCTGCGGCCAAAAATAAGGGTTTTTTGTTATATACATGTGGGGTCTTAGGACAGCCATTAAGGTCCAATTACAGCTCTACGTGTCAAAAATTAAAAAAAATAATTAGTTTTTAATTTTTAATTTCTAAACCGCTTGAGATAATAACCAAATTCGGTGTGCATATTTGGTAGGACAGTAGATATTATACAAAAATTATCAGATTTCGAAACTTACCAGTGGCGAAGGTGTGGGTATCATCGATCATTATTTGTCAAAAAAATATATATCACCCTGTATAATTTTATAAATAAAATAGGTCACCATATGCGCCATTGTATTATCTTCACTTTTTGTTTCTTTGCACTTTTTTGTTTATTTGATTAACAATAAAATTGATTTATTTGGCCAATTACTCAAAATAATAAAAAAATAATTAATTAAAAAATACTTTACTATGATATATTATAACAAATATGTTGGAAATGGCCACCTTCAGCCAAAATATATGCTTCAGATCTTCTTGAAATTACAGCTCGAACAAGTGCAAAAATACCAGGAGTAGCTCTTATTACATCACAACCAATTATAATTTGTTGACGTAAGTACTCCGCAGATTTAATGTGAACCTTGTAAACTAATGTCTTATGTTCCCAAACAAAAAAATCAATAGATTTCATATCGGGTGATCTGTGTGGACAAGGTTAACTTGGCTCTTAAATGCCTCGCCCAATTACGTTATTACCAGTGATAAAATTGTAGGCAAGTAGGATAGTCTTGCACTAAGGCTTGAATCCTTTGTATGTAATAAGACAAATATAACTGTTGATGCTTCAGAATGGACCAAACTAATTTATGATTCGCATTAAGATTTGGAGCGATCTTCCTAATACTAGTATTTGGGTCTTCTTCAATTTCGTATAGAATAACTTCTTCCAACTCAGGCGTTCTAACACTCTAAAGTTCTTCCAGGAATTGGACCTTTCTGAAATGTGCCTGAACCCGAAAGACGTTGAAAAACATTTCTGAACATTCTTGGATTTGGAGTTGGATGATTGGAAATCTTTCCATATAAATTCGCCTAGCCTCAGTACCATTTCCATCTGCAAGGCCATAAATGTAAACCTTATTGGCCATTTTAAAACTTAATATTAAATAAGATGACAGCTTCTTTTTGTCGGCTTCTTTTTGATATTGTTTTGCATGGTCTCCCTGGTCTCCCTAAGATAATGTTTAAGAAATTTAAGTAACTGTGTAAACATGCAATTGATCAAATAAATCAATTTCGTTGTTAATCGGTTTGGAATTCGAAAAAATGTAAAGATAATACTATGCGCATATGATGACCTATTTTATATGTAATATATTTTTTTGCCAAATAATGACCGATGACACCCACACCTCCGCCACAAGTTTCTAAAGCTGGTAATTTTTTGTTTCATACTTACTGTCACTAAAGATGCACACCGAATTTGGTTAAATTATCTTAAGTGGTTTAGAAATTAAAAATTAAATAGTGATTTTTTTTAAAATTTTTGACACGCTGTGCCGGACAATGATGGCTGTCCTAAGATCCCACATTTATATAACAAAATACTTTTATATTTGGCCACAGGATACGCCCCTGGATTTTTAACCTCTACTTAAGAAACACTCCGTATCCCAATTTCCGAAAAGCTTTCGATCTGATTGAGCATAACCTCCTCCTAACCAAATTAGCCCTTTATGGTATTACAGGCCATTTATTGCCGTGGCTTCAATCATATTTATGCGATTGGATCCAAATTAAAATAATTGGTTTTATATCAAAGGAAATTAATATAACATCAGGGGTGCCTCAGAATACTCACTTGGGACCAATTTTATTTTGACTATTAAATATATTATTATAAATATATTATATGTAAATTATATTTCAACCAGTATCAACAAATTTTTTTGACGGTAAATGGTAATGATGATTGTTACAGACAGATTTAAATTCATTAACGACATGGTGCTTATTGAATAACTTGGAGTTGAATTATTCTAAATATAAATGTATTACATTCACGTAAGAAAAACAAAGTTACATTTATATTATTCTATAAATAACATAATATTGGAGGGAGTTAATTGCTGATTTGGGTTTTAAGTTTAATTCCATGTTCCGATTTGATCTTCACATCGATAAGTTAATAATAAGGAAATGTTTTTATATGAGTGGTTTGCAATTATATTAAACTTAATATAAATAAAAACGATTATAACTATATTTAAAGGCTTCACCTACTCGGATTTAAATCCTTACAACATAGACGAACTTGCAATTACATTAAATTTGCTCACAAATCATTTAATGGGAAAATAGATTATAGTGAACTGTTGGGGTTCTTATAAATCAAAAGAAAACTTGGCTTATTTAAACAAGTTTATTATTCAACAAGTAGAAGTGTACAAGTCCTTACAACTAGACAGAGCTATACAGAGGTTCTCACTATACTGTAAAATAATATCTGTAGCACTGGAAAAATCAGAAGATTTAAGCAATAAAATTAAGAGGGTCAACAAATATTAATATTATAGAGGTACGTACTTCCCTAAATACCTACCCACCATAAACCATGAGGAAATTCCTAAATATATAATTTTTTGATATTGCCTTAATCCTACTTAGAAATGTAGAGTTTTGTTAGTAATTTTATATTACTCTAACACCCTCCTTAAAACTCTACATTTTACAAACTTATTTAATTACTTTAATAATATCATTTTTGCTTATAAGAGCTAATTTCATTCGGACGTTCGGTAGAGATAGCAGGGGGAAACATTTGCGGGGCAAGGGGAAACTAGCGATGAGTGAAGACTTGACAACGCCGACGGGTCTTCAATGTGTGAGTGTTCATGTACACGCATCAGTTGTATGCACTGTCTGCTCGTCTGCTGCGTCGGTTACGGCAGCGTATGTGTACAATTTGTTTGTGATAAAGCTGTAAGTATTTGACTTTTATTTTGTTATAAAAAAAGAATAAATAAATAATTAAAAAGATTTATGACAATTGTATTTATTTATATTCGTAGATTTCATTCGTAAAAATGCCCAAAGCCAAACAGTATAACCTCCAAACTACGAAGAATGAGAAAGGAACAGAAATAATTCGATTTAAAGGAAAGTTTACAAAAAAATATAAAGTTGAAAGGCATTTACGAGCTAAGTTGAGGAACCAGCTACAAAAAGAGAAGAATGTTTCTACCAGTAATGACAAAGATATTCCTGTTGATGGAGAGAGAGTAATTGATTTTAAAACCATGGCCAAGAAAATGTTCTGTGAAAAATGTGTGGATAAATTTGGCTTGTGTGATATTCCCGCCACTTGCGACGATGCCGTTGCGTTTCTGTGGAACTCTTATTTATTTTTTTATTCATAAACGAATCAGATGATCGTCGCGAAACTTGGTATACATTAAACTAATAACATTATCTGTGACATATAAAAAAAATAGCGAAATTCATTGGGCCAATTTTCTTAAAACTGAGTTTTTAGCAGTTTTCCCATAAGCGACCGTGTTAAAATGACTGAACTTTGAAATTCAATATCTCGAAAACGAAACAGATGAACCTCTTGAAATTTTGACAGGTTTATTGTAACAACAATAAGAACGTCTGGTCAAAATTTCAAAAAAATTCATTGGAGGGTTTTGTCTCTACCGAACGTCCTTAAATATTCAAATCTTGGTTTAGGTAATGCTTTTGTAAATACATCGGCTGTTTGTTCCTCACTTTTAATATACTTATTTTACATCTATTTTTCCCTTTTCGTATAAGTCGCGTATGAAATGATACTTAACGTCTATATGTTTACTTCTTTGATGAAATTCTGAATTCTTAACTAATTTTAATGCACTCATATCATACTAAATAGATAGTAACTTAAAATATCATTTTCGCACTCTGTGAATAATTTTTTTAACCAAATAATTTCTTTAGTTAATGACGCTGCACTAACGTATTCAGCTTCAGTCGTAGACAGAGCCACACACTGTTCCCGTTTGCTTTGCCATGTGATGCCGCACTCGCATATTTACACAAAATACCTGAAGTTGATTTTCGCGTTTCTTTATTTCCGGCATAATCAGCGTAACTGTAAGCCTCAAAATTACCTTCTTTACAGAAAAGTAGCCCTACATCAGCTGCACCCTTGATATATCGCAAGATTCGCTTTATTAACATCTAATGAGACTCCATTGGGTTTTCTAATTCTCTCGATGCAATATTCACCGCAAAGCTGATATCAGGTCCACTTACTACTTAAAGATACATTAAATTACCTACCGCCTCCCTGTAGGGCGCCTTACAATTTTTTTTTTCAAAAACATTTGCATTCCAACCAGTCTCAATCGGTGAAACAGAATTTGCTTCATTCATACTGAATTTTTCTAAAATACCCCTAATGTACTTATTTTGATTTATAAAAATAGAGCCATTACTTAATCTATGAATTTCCAACCCAAGAAAATTAGTTACATTTTTGGTGCTTATAATTTTAAATTCCCTACTTAGATCATCAAATAATTTGTCAATTAAATGTTTATGTGAGGCAGCTATGTCCATCGTCCAAATATTCTTTTTCCGTTTTCTATATACATATACATAAAAACAGGCATCAGCAGTACTTTCATGAAACCCTAAGATTTTAATAAAACTAGTAAAATGTTCCGTCCAACACCTTGGAGCTTGTTTTAAACCATATAAACTTTTTAATAATTTGCAAACTTTTGTCGTTCTGTCATTAAAACCTTCAGGTTGTTTCATATATATATTCTCCTTTAAATCACCATACAAAAATGCAGTTTTAATGTCAAATTGACCTAGGTACAAGTTATCACGCACTGCAATACTCAACACTAATCTAACAGTATCAAAACGTAGTACCGGACTAAACGTTGTAACTTACTCCCTCTGTTTGTGAATACCCTTTTATAACTAAACATGCTTTATAACGCTCCGAATTATCCGGACAGATATAGACCCAACGACTACTAATAACATTTTGATTCGCTGGTTTTTCAACAAATACCCACATCTTATTTTCATGTAAGGAATTCATTTCGTCTTCCATCGCTGCTTTCCAATACACTTTTTTGTCTGAGTTCATTGCTTCATTAAAGGCTATATATGTAACCGGACATCCGAAAAATTGTATAGGTTTAATACTCGACTTATCACGTAAACTTCTCAGGTTCGTATTGATAGAGGACTGTGAAGTTTCCTCACCCATATTTTTCTTATTCCCGTTTTTAAGTAGACTATTAACTTCTTCCTTATTTAAATTTTTGTCACCGCTTTTAACATCGATTTTAAGCGGGTTTATCAACCGTATGCGCGGATATCTTTTCAGGCTTAAATAACACATCGCGACTCAAAATTTTCTCAAGAAAACTCAGCCGATGTTGCTTACTATAAGCACTATCCTCACAGAAAATCTCAGTATCTAACATATTTATATTTATGTTCCTTAAAACACTCTTTACATGCCTAATATTTTGATGACAAAGTCTTTCATACCATAATTTCAATGTACTCGATTCATCAGAGATAGATTTTGATTCTCCTTTATCACTTAAATTGCAGTTTTTCAGCATCGGACCATGTGACAAAAGTCACATGGTCCGATGCTCTAGAGTCGATTAGTCATAATCACTTTCACCTCGATTTCCTATTAGCGCCAATCTTACCGTCGGCGTCGGTTGCCGTCCCGAATTTGCATCACTGTTACCACGAACATTCGATCTGTTATTATTTTTAAAACAGTTTTTGTTAGTATGTCCTTTTCCTTTGCATGTATAACACCTATACCAGTCCCTTTTCCATATGATCTGTCTTTCCACGGTTAAAACAACTAGGCACTTGATTTTTTCCCTCATTTTGAAACCGTTTATACTGATCTTGCCTTGAGAATTTATTATTATATTTTGCGACTAGTCCAACTGACATTTCTTGAATATCTTCTTGTTCCTGTACTCTAATATCTTCAGTCATTAATCTCGCGGTTAGGTTTTCTAGATTTTTCTTCTTTTCTTCCACTGAGTCCCATGCACTATGAAAATGATTGTATCTCTTCGGTAAAGTAGACAAAATTCGTGTCAACAGCATTGATTCTGGAACTTCGCTTCCGAGATTCTTCATTTTTGTCGCCAATAGGCCCATTCAGTGATATTTAATTTTAAACTTTTTCTTTCATTTTCTGATAGTATTTAACCACCTAATTATATCTTAAAAAAATTAGGTCAATAGGATTAATAATAAGTGATATATTTAATTCTGAATTTGTAAGACCCTTAAAAAGGTCAACACTGCGAGAGACCAGCTAATGACGTCACAATACCGGCCACTCGGCGATCAAGTCGCGAGCAGACGGAGAGATGTGTAGATATTTGCTATACTTTTACCTCTATTATATACCTATATTTTTAAGTGTATAAATAGAGAGTGTATAAGAGATATACATCAAGTCTTGTTGAAATGCATTTTTCACACAACATATTTATTATAAACATAGAATGTCTTGGAATATCTAAATACATTTTCGGATTTTTCTCAATGACGTAAATGGTTCGCTTTTCTACATTTTCTGTTGCTTTCCATTTTTGTACAAATGTACCCAACGTACTAGACTCGGTACTTGTGGATGTATGCGACGACGTGTATGTGCGAGCAACTCAGAACCACCCTCGTTTTTCTTTGGTTGCCCGTCTAGGGGGTTGTAAAATATTATTATTTAAATAAATTGCTTATAGGTGCCTCTCGCAACGTATTTCGAAATTTTTGTGGACGGGAACGTTTAGATGGGGTAGAATTTATTTTTTCGACATAAATTTGAAAATTCTGCTCTAAATGTTTAAATAATAATATTTATAACCTCTTAGACGGGCAACCAAAGAAAAACGAGGGTGGTTCTGAGTTGCTTATAGGTCCCTCTCGCCGACGTATTTCGAAATTTTTGTGAACGGGTACGTTTAGATGGGGCAGAAATTTTTTCCAGCATAAATTTTATAATTCTGCTCTAAATGTTCAAATAATAATATTTAAAACCCTCTAGATGGAAAACCAAAGAAAAACTAGAGTGGTTCTTAACTGCTTATAGGTCCCTGTCGCCGTCGTATTTCGAATTTTTTGTGAACACGAACATTTAGATGGGGCAGAATTTATTTCCGGCATAAAGTTGAGAATTGTGCTCTAAATGTTCAAATAATAATATTTTACAACCCCCTAGACGTGCATCCAAAGAAAAACGAAGGTGGTTTTGAGTTGCATACCGTGGCTGGGGAAACCGTGGATAACATCACACAAACTTTTCATTTTTCGGTAATGAAATAAATATTTTATTCGGAGTCGATCCTGAGGTACTTTTGCAGCCTGGAACTATACAATATTTGTACAATCCTCGGTTTCGACCCATTTAGACATAAAAACAATAATTAACGAAACTGCGAATCGATCCACATATCGTATGTATTAACACAGAATGGGAAGAGAGCGAGCGTGAGCGGAGTGCTCTATTATGACGTCAGGCAATGGTTGCTCAACGTTTTTCCGCGCTCTGTTTTCATTAATTTATTTCACACATTTCTCGTTGAAACAAAAAATTGATTTTTGGCATACTAACTAATTAAAGGGTAAACTTTTGAAATATGCAATAAAAAAATTTTACTAAATGGGCCTATTGTCCCAACTTCGATACATTAAGAGCAACACTTTCATTCTCTATCCACTTGAAATCAAAGAATTGTTTCTGGACTATCGATACATTTTCATCTGATTTCATGTCATATACGGAGTTTAACTTTTTCCACATTTCTCTCGCAGTCTTCTCCACTGACGTAACAATGATTAACTTTCTTGCAGCCTTATCTGCCTTTAGAAACTTTTTCAACTTAACTTGATAGTTCATTGAATTTTATTCTAGACGAACTAATAGCCCTTCACAAGCATATAGCATATCATCGTCCTCCTCTAGTAATGTGCGTATTACAAAACGCCACTGGAGCCAGTTGTCCTCATCACGTAGCTTCTCAATTTTTAAACCCGACGATTCCATTCTTTCTTAATATATTCTGTTGCACTTTACTTACTTCTACGCACTACACTTAGCTGTTCTCTGTCTTTAATATTTTACTTTTGTTTTACTATTCTTGTACACTTAACTGTTCTGCGCCAATAACGTTTTTTTCTTTTAATTTCACTTTAGTACACTTTTTCACTTATCTGTTCTGGGCCTATAACCTGTTGGGGTTCTTATAAATTAAAAGAAAACTTGACTTATTTAAACAAGTTCTGTATGGTCCCGTATATTCAACAAGTAGAAGTCCTTACTACTAGAAAGAGCTACGCAGAGGTTCTCACAATACTGTGTAAAGTAATATCTGTAGCACTGAAGAAATCAGAAGAGCAATAAATTTAAGAGGGTCAACAAATATTAATATTATAGGAGTACGTACTTCCCTAGATACCTACCCATCATAAACCATGGGGAAATTCCTAAATACATAATTTATTGATATTGCCTTAATCCTACTTAGAAATGTAGAGTTTTGTTAGTAATTTTATATTACTCTAACATGAACAATTTATCTTTATTTTCTTTACGTGTCCCAAATTGTGTAATAAGACTACTTTTATAATCGCATAAATAACATTGTTAGCTAGGTTCAG